GGGCGTGGTGAGCGGGGATGTGGGGGGCTGAAGGGGGATTAGAAGGCGAAGGGGAATGTGGGGGTGATGAGGGGAGGAAAGGGGGCAGCAAGCCCCACCACCCATATGGCTGAGGGGTGCAAGCACTTGTGTCGCTGCAGTCACGTTGGCACGCCAGGATGACCGTCGGTGTGACTGCGTGCAGGTGAGTGTGCATGCCACTGCGCAGGTGTGCACCTGCACCAGCGTGCGCGCCCGCGCCCGCCAGAGTGAGTCTGCGTGTGCAGAAGCACGCATGGCGGCGACACCCGGGAAGCTGAGCACACATGGCAGCACCAAGAGTGTAACCGCGCCTGTGAGCCCCACCACTGCACACGGCGATCAGGGGGTGCAACAGGGGCACGCAGTCACCCCTCTGCTGCTGTGCATGCCCCTAGTGGCTGGGCACTACGAGAACAAGCGCGTCACGCACCCACCCTGGGCTGGGCACACACGGCTGCACACTCGCCTGGAGGTAGCTGGTGTGTGCGTGCCTCAGCCGTGGTCCTCCCGGTTTTGTCCTTTCAAAATGCTCCACCAAGTCACATACAGCATCAGGGCTGGGAACCGAGCAAGGTCAGAGAATAAATGCCCAGGGCAGCAACCTGTGTTTTCATTGCCTGTAACATCGGAGGGTGTCCACAGGGCTGCATTCCTCCCAAAAATTACCCTGCACCAGGCAAAGCACAGCCCCTCCCCATCTGTGATCCCAGCCCTGTGTCTCCCCGGGTGCAGGATGGGGGGGGGTGGGGGTGTGTGGTGGTGAGCCAGGACTATCTTCCTTCTTCAGCCAAAGGCCACAGAAATCAGACTCAGGGCTAAGCTAAAAGGAGGTTTTTTTCAAGTACTTGTTCAGTCAAGAGGCAAATGTAGAGACACTGTTCCAGGTCAAAACAAATCACCACCACTATACAAAGCAAATTGCCTTTTAATACGTAACCAAATACAGCGGGTGAGTTTCAGGACATCTTTTTTCCTCAGCATCATCCGTCTGCCAACAGCAATACAAAGAAATCACAAAGCGTAAAATGAAACACTGCCACAAAAAAAGACATTATGTGCACATACACAACACATAAAGAGGTAATACGCAAGTAACAGAGCACCAGGGGTCTGTCTCAGCCCCAGTCAGCAGAGCCTGGCAGGGCGCCCTCTCCCCGAGGCACACCGCTTGCAGGACCAGGAGCCCTTGGTGCCCCCTGGCTGGGGCCATGCACTGCTTCATTGTCTTACAGGTGCCAGGACACCAACGGCTGGTGAGCAGAGTCCATCCTGCTGCTTTTTGGGCCCACCAATTTCAAAGGCTCTGTATCTGGGCCAGCCAGCTCCTTGCCCCATCCTAGGTGCTCCTCCAAGCCTCTTCACAGGGGTCTGGCGTCTTTCCAGCATTGCTCTGCTCCCAGCCTGCAGCCAGGAACTCAACCCTTCTTGAGCCCCATCTTGCCCTGTGAGCAGCCCTGGGAGACCTGGCACAGCAAGGCAAAGCAGGGCACGAACAAGAGCCCCAGGGAGATGAGACCACCCTACACCAGGACACATGCAGGCTTGCTGCTGGGCTAGCCCTGCACTCATTACCCAATTTTACTCACTTGACAAACAGTACATGTGTAATACTGGTGTGAGAGGCAGACGTGCTCATGGTGATGGGTGCAAGGGTGGGGAAGATGTGGAGGTGCCCAACCTCTCTCACCTCTGGCCAACCTGGCTTGCCATGTCTGGTCTTGAATCAAACACCCATCATCACTTTTTCTGTGGGTTTTCCCTGACAAATCTGGGACAATTTACCTCATAGTAGGAAAAAAAAAAAAAGTAATTCACATCTTGGGTTAAAAAAAATACAAAAGAAAGCAAATTCAACAAAGTGGTTGTGCTGGTCTCCAGGACAACAGTTTGAAGGGCACAAAGTTGGTCTGAAGTGGAGAGGCAGACAGCAGTCACTGCATCCCTTTCTGCCTTTCTCACTCTCTGGAAAAATCACACCATCCTGAGCAACTGCAGGAGTAAACCCCATCATTCCTCTGTCTGATGACACTGCTGAGCACAGGAGAGGAAGGCAAGGACAAGCCAGTGACAAATCCAAGGGGAGCTTGGCTGGACCTTCCCCACCCTGGTACCTGCTTCTCCTAAATTCCCCAGGAAGGCTACTGAAGAGCCCAAAAACCCCAAGCTGCCTCTGCTCTCACCAGCTCCACCTCCCACAGAGACCCTTCAAATGCTGCTGAGCTTCTCAAAGTGCTTGGTAACATCCCCTTTTCTAAAGGAACTGGGTCACCAGGGGCTTGGGAGGAGGGGAGAAGATGGAGAGCACAGGAGGGAGGAGCAAAGCAGAGGGGATCAGGTAGGTTGAGATGATGCAGGGGGCTGAACAGCAACATGACATGGGTGGTCCAGACACAGGTGATGAGGACACCACGCTGCATCAAGAAACAGCAATTCAGTGCTGTGGTGCCTGTAAGGCCAGCAGGTCTGTCTGCAAGAGATTGCCAGGAACACATGAAGTGGCAAGCAGGGGGTCCCTTCCTTGACCCCAAGAGTATGGCAAACCACCCTGCTGGCAGGGCTGCATCTCCCTGAAAGACTTTTCATGGAAAAAAAATGCAAAATACTTCATCCTAGGCTGCCTGAAAGCTCCTCTAGGGCACCTCATTTCAGGCAGTGGAAGACAAAATCCTGAGCAATCAGGAAGCATGGGGAACCACTCAGAGGTGTGCATGGCCAGAATTGCTCATAGTTGCTTGTGACTTTGCAAAATGTGGCTCCCAGTTCACAGGGAGGCTTCAAAACAGGCTGCCCACCAACCAGTGCTGTGCCCCCATGTCCCTGGCACCACCCCCTTGCTCCATCCATTTGAGCCAGTGCACCCCCTCAGGTCCTGCAGCCCTCACACCTCATCTTGAGCTGGACCTCGCAGGCACAGAGCTGCTGCCCACCCGCAAAGGATGCTGATGGGAAGCCAGGACCATGCTCAGAAGAGGGCAGCACTCCTGCACTCACCTTTGCAGGGCAAGATGCTGAGCACCTCAAAACTGAGCCCGGTGAGGAACATGATGGTCCAGGGTGGCTCTCACTGGGGCAAGGCAAAGCACCCAGCTGTTGGGGAAAGGAAATTTTAGAGGTATCCCTAAGAAAGGTGCTCTCATGTCCAAAAAGGTTATTTCTGTATTGGCACTCAGGCAGCAACACATGGTCCATCTGGTGGGTGCTGGGACCCATGCTGGACCCCAGCAGGAGTCCGCTGTGTTGCACTGGACCTGCCCTACCACATCTCTGGGGAGCTGCCCCAGCCTGCAGGAGCCACGGCTGGTGCTGCACAAACCACTTGTCCTGCTCCCCTTCCCAGGAAAAGCTGGGCTTTGGGGGGAGTACTGGGGGCTGTTTGGGGAAGCCACCATCCCCTGGCAGCTGGCTGACTCTTAAGTGTGCTGATGCTTGGGCAGGGAGAGCAGTCTCCTCATCATGGAGGTCCCCAGCCCCAGAGAACAAGGACTTAGGCAAGCCTTGTGCAGGGCAAGGAGCAGGCTGAGAGTGCAGCAACCACAGCCCAGCCTCCACAGGGATCTCAGGACTGCCAGCCAGTGGAATTTGTGACTCCAGGTGTGTTCCTGCTGGCTCC